CTCAGAGCCTTCCCCAGACTCCAGGACTGGCCCAGGTTCCTCCCCAACCTCCTCACTGTCCGAATCTGCTGCCAGATCCACTGGCGAACCACAGCAATTATGCCACCTTGAGTTGTACAAAATAAAGGCGGGAGACAGTATGTAAATAAGAGACCCACACCGTATAATGGATATATATCTCTCTGTGTTAGCAACAGCAAAGCTCTTTTGGGCTCTCCCCACCGATCCAAACACGGATCTAGGCTGGGTTCACACGGCAACCCTAACACTGGGGTTCGAGAAATCGCAACGGCAGCAACGTGCAGATCGCCTACAATGCCCAAGCGACGGATTTCAAGTTTCGAGCTTCCTCTGTCGATTCATACCCTGTTTGAAGATAATCGGCTGGCATTCGTAGCCCCTGACCCCCAAAATGATGCACTCCCGTTTCGGAAACCCGGCAATAGTTCCATCGTGGTGGGGACCTCTGCTTCGCGGAGACGGGTTCTAGGTGGGAAGGGAACAACTGGGTGGGTCATGGGGAGGGGCGAGGACAGGGAGGCGGCCCAAGGAGAATCCGTCTCCCCAAATTGGAATCCAACCCCCCTCCCTCCCCAAATGCTTGGATGGGAAGAGATGCGATGGCCATCCGGCCGATGCAGAAGTCCAGTACAATCAAAATGACGAGATTGAGCGGTCCACGGCGGCCCACGGAGGGTGTGGTATGTTCTCCAACCGTCTTCCTCCAGTGGGAGAGCCATGCTTCCCCCTCCCGCTCAGTCGAGGGGTCCCTGGAAAATGAGCCGGACGAAACCCTGCTGGCCGGTCAGCCAGGTGCCGCAGAAGGGACAGGCGGCGTGGAAGGCGTGGGTGCCGTGCGGCAGCGGGATCTGCGACCAATACTGGACAGTCTTAGCGGAACAAACGTGGCCGCAGGGGCAGAAGGCGTGGGTGGGGCGTCCGGCGTCCAGATACAGCCCGGCCTCGCAGCCCAGCCAGAGAGGCACGTAAGGGCCCAGCCGCCGACACATGGGGCACTCGCGCTCCAGCCCCCCCTTCTCTTTACGGAACCCCCAGTTGTGAAAACCGTGGACGTGGCCACAGTTGATGTAGACCCAGGGCTGCTGTTTTTCCACCACGCCCCGTTGGGCCAGGCTGGGGAAGGCCAGGGTGCTGAAACCCACCGGGCACTGAGGCCGGGCAGCGTTGACCTCTTGACGCAGCAGCTCCAGCTGTTGCAAAGTTGGGGTGCGCAGGAGGCCCTCCGAAGTGCGCCAGAGGAGCGTGGCCCCGCAGAGATCAATGAGGGAGCCGTCCTCCAGAATGTTGGACTCCATTTCCACCTGGTACGGAGGGAGAAGAGAAAAGAAGAGACGAATAACAGAAAAATGGAAGCCTTGGAGAATTCCAGATGTTTGCACTGTCAGCCCAAAGACAAATCACAAGTCTAGAGGACCTCCAAGGTCTCTTCCAACTCTATTGTTAATGTTATGTAATAATGGAATGGAATGGAATAGAATAGAATAGAATAATAATAGAGTTGGAAGGGACTTCGGAGGTCTTCTAGTCTAGAGGGTGGTGAGGGTTCGAAGTCTTCTATTCGAACCCTCACCACCCTCCAGGCCTTCTGCAAAGCCCTTAAAACCTGGCTGATTAAATGTAATCAAATCAAATCAAGCCCCCTACTCAGGCAGAAAACCCTATTCCATTTCAGACAAATGGCTATCCAATCTCTTCTTAAAAACCCCCAGTGATGGGAGCACCCACAACTTCTGGTGGCAAGTCGTTCCACTGGTTAATTGTCCTCACTTTTGGGAAATTTATTCTTAGTTCCAGGTTGCTTCCCTCTTTGATTAGTCTCCATCCATTGCTTTTTGTCCTGCTTTCTGGTGCTTTGGAGAATAGGTTGACCCCCTCTTCTTTGGGGCAGCCCCTCAAATATTGGAAGATTGCTATCATGTC